CACCTCCCTACACCACCTGGCACCACGCAACACGTCCCTACACCAGCTGGCTCCACGCCACACCTCCCTACACCACCTGGCACCTCGCCACCTGTCACAACGCTACACCTCCCTAAACCACCTGGCACCACGCCACCTGCCACAACGCTACACCTCCCTACACCACCTGGCACCACGTCACAACTCCCTACACTACCTGACACCACGCCACACCTCCCTACACCACCTGGCCCCACGCCACACTTCCCTACACCACCTGGCACCACTCAACACCTCCTCCCTACACCACCTTGCCCCACGCCACACCTCCCTACTCCACCTGGCACCACGCAACATCTCCCTACACCACCTGGCACCACGCTAAACCTCCCTACACCACCTGGCACCACGCCACACCTCTCTACGTCACCTGGCACCACGCCACACCTCCCTACACCACCTGGTTCAACGCCACACCTCCCAACGCACCCTGGCACCACGCCAAACCTTCCTACACCACCTGGCACCACGCCACAACTCCCTACACTACCCGGCCCCACTACACACCTCCGTAGACCACCTGGCACCACGCTACACCTCCCTACACCACCTATCACCACGACACACCTCCCTACTCACCTGGCACCACGCCACACCTCCCTACACCACTTGGCACCACGCAACACCTCCCTACACCACCTTGCCCCACGCCACACCTCCCTACACCACCTTGCCCCACGCCACACCTCCCTACTCCACCTGGCACCACGCAACATCTCCCTACACCACCTGGCACCACGCTAAACCTCCCTACACCACCTGGCACCACGCCACACCTCTCTACGTCACCTGGCACCACGCTACACCTCCCTACACCACCTGGCTCAACGCCACACCTCCCAACGCACCCTGGCACCACGCCAAACCTTCCTACACCACCTGGCTCCAAGCCACACCTCCCTACACACTCTGGCCCCACGCCACACCTTCCTGCACCACCTAGCTCCACGCCACATCTGCCAACACCACCTGGCCCCACGCCACACATTCTACACACCACCTGGTACCACGCCACACTTCCCTACACCACCTGGCTCAACGCCACACCTCCCAACACATCCTGGCACCACGCCACACCTCCCTTCACCGGTTGCTACTGCTCGACACCTCCCTACACCACCTGGCCTCCGGCCACACCTACCTACACCACCTGGAACCAAGCCACACCTTCCTTCACCACCTGGCACCAAGCCACACCTCCCTATACAACCTGGCCCCACGCCACACCTCCCTACACCACCCAGCTCTACGCCACATCTGCCTACACCACCTGGCCCCACGCGACACCTCCCTGCATCACCTGGCCCCACGCCAAACCTCCCTACACCACCTGGACCTACGTTACACCTCCCTACACCACCTGGCCCCACGCCACACCTTCCTACATCACCTGGCACCACGCCAGACCTCCCTACACCACCCGGCTCCACGCCACACCTCCCTACACATCCTGGCACCACGCCACACCTTCCTACACCACCTAGCACCACGCCACCTTGCCCCACGCAACACTTGCCTTTTGCACCTGGCTCCAGGCCACACCTCCCTACACCACCTGGCAAAACGCCACCAGGCACAACGCTACACCTCCCTACACCACCTGGCACCACGCCATACCTCCCTACACCACCTGGCACCTCGCCACACCTCTCTACACCAACTGGCACCACGCTACACCTCTTTACACTACCTGGCACCATGCTACACCTCCCTACACCACCTGGCACCACGCAACACGTCCCTACACCAGCTGGCTCCACGCCACACCTCCCTACACCACCTGGCACCTCGCCACCTGTCACAACGCTACACCTCCCTAAACCACCTGGCACCACGCCACCTGCCACAACGCTACACCTCCCTACACCACCTGGCACCACGTCACAACTCCCTACACTACCTGACACCACGCCACACCTCCCTACACCACCTGGCCCCACGCCACACTTCCCTACACCACCTGGCACCACTCAACACCTCCTCCCTACACCACCTTGCCCCACGCCACACCTCCCTACTCCACCTGGCACCACGCAACATCTCCCTACACCACCTGGCACCACGCTAAACCTCCCTACACCACCTGGCACCACGCCACACCTCTCTACGTCACCTGGCACCACGCCACACCTCCCTACACCACCTGGTTCAACGCCACACCTCCCAACGCACCCTGGCACCACGCCAAACCTACCTACACCACCTGGCACCACGCCACAACTCCCTACACTACCCGGCCCCACTACACACCTCCGTAGACCACCTGGCACCACGCTACACCTCCCTACACCACCTATCACCACGACACACCTCCCTACTCACCTGGCACCACGCCACACCTCCCTACACCACCTGGCACCACGCAACACCTCCCTACACCACCTTGCCCCACGCCACACCTCCCTACACCACCTGGCACCACGCCACACCTCCCTACTCAACCTGGCACCACGCTACACCTCCAAACACCACCTGGCACCACGCTACACCTCCCTACACCACCTGGCTCTACGTAACACCTCCCTACACCACCTGGCCCCACGCCACACCTCCCTACACCACCTGGCCCAACGCCACACCTCCCAACACCACCTGGCCCCACGCCACACCTCCCTACACCACCTGGCCCCACGCCACACCTCCCTACACCTCCTGGCCCCACGCCACACCTACCTACACCACCTGGCCCCACGCCATACCGCCATACACCACCTGGCACCACGCCACACCTCCCTACACCACCTAGCACCACGTCACCAGGCACCACGCGACACCTCCATATACCACCTGTCACATCGTCACTTGGCACTACGCCGTACCTCCCTACACCACCTGGCACCACGCCACACCTCCCTACACCACCTAGCACCACGTCACCAGGCACCACGCGACACCTCCATATACCACCTCTCACATCGTCACTTCGCACTACGCCGTACCTCCCTACACCACCTGGCACCACGCCACACCTCCCTACACCACCTGGCACAACGCCACACCTCTCTACACCACCTGGCATCACGCAACACCTCCCTACTCAACCTGGCACCAAGCTACACCTCCCTACACCACCTGGCTCTACGTAACACCTCCCTACACCACCTGGACCCACGCCACACCTCCCTACACCACCTAGACCCACGCCACACCTCCCTACACCTCCTGGCCCTACGCCACACCTCCCAACACCACTTGGCACCACGCCACACCTCCCTACATCACCTGGCACCACTCCACACCTCCGTACACACCTTGGCACCACGCCACACCTGCAAACACCACCTGGCACCACGCCACACCTCCCCACACCACTTGGTCCCACGCCGCACCTCCCTACACGACCTGGTACCACGCCATACCTTCGTACACCACCTGGCACCACACCACACCTCCCTATACCACACCACCTGGCACCACGCCACACCTCCCTATACCACACCACCTGGCACCACGCCACACCTCCAAACACCACCTGGCACCACGCCACACCTCCCTACACCACCTGGCCCCCACGCCACACCTCCCAACACCACCTGGCACCACGCCACAGCTCTCTACACCACCTGGAACCACGCCACACCTCCCTACACCACCTGGCACCACGCCACACCTCCCTACACCACCTGGCCCCACGCCACACCTCCCTACACCACCTGGCACCACGCCACACCTCCCTACACCACCTGGCACCACGCCACACCTCCCTACACCACCTGGCCCCACGCCACACCTCCCTACACCACCTGGCACCACGCCACACCTCCCTACACCACCTGGCACCACGCCACACCTCTCTACAGCAACTGGCCCCACGCTACACCTCTTTACACTACCTGGCACCATGCTACACCTCCCTACACCACCTGGCACCATGCCACACCTCCCTACACCACCTGGTACCATGCCACACCTCCCTACACCACCTGGCCCCACGCCACACCTCCCTACACCACCTGGCACCACGCCACACCTCTCTACACCAACTGGCCCCACGCTACACCTCTTTACACTACCTGGCACCATGCTACACCTCCCTACACCACCTGGCACCATGCCACACCTCCCTACACCACCTGGCACCATGCCACACCTCCCTACACCACCTGGCACCATGCCACACCTCCCTACACCACCTGGCACCAGGCCACACCTAGCTACACCACCTGGCACCATGCCACACCTCCCTACACCACCTGGCACCAGGCCACACCTAGCTACACCACCTGGCACCATGCCACACATCCCTACACCACCTGGCACCACGTCACACCTCCTTACACCACTTGGTCCCTCGCCGGGCCTCCCTACACCACCTGGCCCCACGCCACACCTCCCTACACCACCTGGCACCACGCCACACCTCTCTACACCACCTGGCCCCACGCCACACCTCCCTACACCACCTGGCACCACGCCACACCTCCCTACACCACCTGACCCCACGCCACACCTCCCTACACCACCTGGCCCCACGCCACACCTCCCTACACCACCTGGCACCACGCCACACCTCCCTACACCACCTGGCCTACCCACCATAGAGAACTGCTCTTCACCTTGTGAGTAATTAGAGTGTAGACAATAGAGTTGTGCTCTAGGGTGTGTCGGTGTTATTGGAGGACGTTTACCACTGACTATTGACCATTGTACTGACCATTGACCATTGTACTGACCATTGACCATTGACTATTGCACTGACCAGTGACCATTGACCATTGTACTGATCATTGACCTTTGTACTGTCCTTTGACCATTGACTATTGACCATTGCACTGACCATTCATCTTTGTACTGACCATTTACCTATGACCATTGACCATTGACCATTGAGAATTGACCCTTGAACATTGACCACTGCACTCTACCTTTGCACTGAGCATTGACCACTGGCCCTTGACCATTGACCATTGCAGAACAAGAATGGTACCGAGCTAAGCCATGACGTCACGCAAACACTTTATCTACCAGAAGTCACGTGAAACACAAGAACAAATGTGAGGTGACCTGGCAACCATGTGAGGTGACCTGACAACCATGAGAGGTGACCTGACAACCATGTGAGGTGACCTGACAACCATGAGAGGTGACCTGACAACCATGAGAGGTGACTTGACATCCATGAGAGGTGACCTGACAACCATGTGAGGTGACCTGACAACCATGAGAGGTGACCTGACAACCATGTGAGGTGACCTGACAACCATGAGAGGTGACCTGACAACCATGAGAGGTGACTTGACATCCATGAGAGGTGACCTGACAACCATGTGAGGTGACCTGACAACCATGAGAGGTGACCTGACAACCATGTGAGGTGACCTGACAACCATGAGAGGTGACCTGACAACCATGAGAGGTGACCTGACAACCATGTGAGGTGACCTGACAACCATGAGAGGTGACCTGACAACCATGAGAGGTGACCTGACAACCATGTGAGGTGACCTGACAACCATGTGAGGTGACCAGACAACCATGTGAGGTGACCTGACATCCATGAGAGGTGACCTGACAACCATGTGAGGTGACCTGACAACCATGTGAGGTGACCTGACAACCATGTGAGGTGACCTGACAACCATGTGAGGTGACCTGACAACCATGAGAGGTGACCTGACAACCATGTAAGGTGACCTGACAACCATGAGAGGTGACCTGACAACCATGAGAGGTGACCTGACAACCATGAGAGGTGACCTGACAACCATGTGAGGTGACCTGACAACCATGAGAGGTGACCTGACAACCATGAGAGGTGACCTGACAACCATGTGAGGTGACCTGACAACCATGAGAGGTGACCTGACAACCATGAGAGGTGACCTGACAACCATGAGAGGTGACCTGACAACCATGTGAGGTGACCTGACAACCATGAGAGGTGACCTGACAACCATGAGAGGTGACCTGACAACCATGAGAGGTGACCTGACAACCATTTGAGGTGACCTGACAACCATGTGAGGTGACCTGACAACCATGTGAGGTGACCTGACAACCATGAGAGGTGACCTGACAACCATGAGAGGTGACCTGACAACCATGAGAGGTGACCTGACAACCATGTGAGGTGACCTGACAACCATGAGAGGTGACCTGACAACCATGAGAGGTGACCTGACAACCATGAGAGGTGACCTGACAACCATGAGAGGTGACCTGACAACCATGAGAGGTGACCTGACAACCATGAGAGGTGACCTGACAACCATGTGAGGTGACCTGACAACCATGAGAGGTGACCTGACAACCATGAGAGGTGACCTGACAACCATGAGAGGTGACCTGACAACCATGTGAGGTGACCTGACAACCATTAGAGGTGACCTGACAACCATGAGAGGTGACCTGACAACCATGTGAGGTGACCTGACAACCATGAGAGGTGACCTGACAACCATGTGAGGTGACCTGACAACCATGAGAGGTGACCTGACAACCATGAGAGGTGACCTGACAACCATGTGAGGTGACCTGACAACCATGAGAGGTGACCTGACAACCATGTGAGGTGACCTGACAACCATGAGAGGTGGCCAGTGTTATGATCCCAGGTAGCTGAAAAACGAGTCTCCCCTTTGAGAATTATTCTATCAGGCCTGAGCATCATGGTCAGCCCTGGTCTATTGGGTCTTCAGGTAGCTTGTTGTCCAACCCTTCCTTCGAATAGACAGTACATTCCTGACTGTCTGCATAGTACATATATACACATAATTATGCTGTTACATTTACCCCTCACCATATATTCTCTTCATTTTCTGTTAATACACTCAAAATTTTTAGGTTGAAGTTTTCGCGTTCAACGCTACATACTCAAGTTTTAAATATAAAGAGTTTCTTTTCCAGTTTTATTAAACAATAGAGATTTTATGCAAAATCTGAAAATATCAAACTTTGAGTTACTTTATAATTTATTGAAAGACATTGTTTTGTTTTATTATTTTTATAAAATTGTATTATAATATAGCTATAGGTTAAATACTAATTGTAATTAAGAAGCAATAAATGCTATTTAAATGTTTGTCCTCCTACACTCTCAAGGTTACGTTAGGTGTTGGTTTTCTATACAGCTTTTCAGGTAAACTCTAATGTTTCCAATATTTTGGTGCGATGCTGGCGATTAAGTGTATTTATGTACTATGCCGATAGTCACGATTGTACTTATAACATTTATTATTAAAACGTACTGCTATTCGGAGGATGGGCTGGGTTGTCCTGCTCCCTTGTTCTTACTAGTATTATTCGAGAAGACTTTAACAACAAAGTGGAGACATTAGTGAGGTGGCAGGAATAATGTTAGGAACACTGGATGGCGCGACATGGTACGTGGCAGCACCTGTGGCCGCTGGCTGGCTGTTGATGTGGCAATAAGAAAGCATCCAAGGTCTGTCCTCACAGATTATGGAAATTTTATTCATGGCCATGATAGTGCCTTCAATATGCGGCGTCTATGTTTGCTAGAGTTGATGAAGGTGGGTTCTGTGTGTGTGTGTGTGTGTGTGTGTGTGTGTGTGTGTGTGTGTGTGTGTGTGTGTGTGTGTGTGTGTGTGTGTGTGTGTGTGTGTGTGTGTGTGTGTGTGTGTGTGTGTGTGTGTGTGTGTGTGTGTGTGTGTGTGTGTGCATAATCACCTAGTGGTACTTACCTAGTTGTACTTGGAGGGGTTGAGCTCTGGCTCTTTGGTCCCCCCTCTCAACTGTCAATCATCTAATGTACAGGTTCCTGAACTACTGGGCTCTATCATATCTACACTTGAAGCTGTGTATAGGTCAGCCTCCACCACATCAAAATTCTTCCTAACGTCTCTCTATGGCTCATTTGGGCACTCAATGTCCACCTGTGTCCCCTAGTGTGTGTGCCTCTTGTGTTAAATAGCCTGTCTTTATCTACCCTATTAATTCCTCTGAGAATCTTGTATGTGGTGATCATGTCGCCTTCTAACTCTTCTGTCTTCCAGTGACTTGAGGTTTAATTTCCGTAGTCTCTCCTCGTAGCTCATACTCCTCAGTTGCGGTACTACTAGTCCTGTGGTAAACCATTGAACCTTTTTCAGTTTAGTCTTATGCTTGACTAGATATGGACTCCATGCTGGAGCCGCATACTCCAGGATTGGTCTGACATATGTGGTATACAATGTTCTGAAAGATTAGGTACACAAGTTTCTAAAGGCGGTTCTTATGCTAGCCAACTTGGCCTATGCCCTGATGTTATCCTGTTGATATGAGCTTCTGGGGTGGGGGGTTGAAGGGAAGGAGGACAGGTAGGGTACGAGGTAAGGAGGTAGGGGGGACATGGAGGATACGGGGTGAGGGGGGAGGAGGGATAGGGAGGGTATGAGGGAATGGGAGGGGGAGAGGGGGAGAAAGGGGAGAGGGGGGCATGGTGGGAATGGAGGAGGGAATGTGTGTTTAAGTGTGTGTGTGTACTCACCTATTTGTACTCACCTATTTGTGCTTGCGGGGGTTGAGCTTTGGCTCTTTGGTCCCGCCTCTCAACTGTCAATCAACTGGTATACAGAATCCTGAGCCTACTGGGCTCTATCATACCTACATTTAAAACTGTGTATGGAGTCTGCCTCCACCACATCACTGCCTAATGCATTCCATCCGTTAACTACTCTGACACTGAAAAAGTTCCTTCTAACGTCTGTGGCTCATGTGGGTACTCAGTTTCCACCTGTGTCCCCTTGTTCGCGTCCCACCAGTGTTGAATAGTTTATCCTTGTTTACCCGGTCGATTCCTCTGAGGATTTTTTAGGTTGTGATCATGTCTCCCCTTACTCCTCTGTCTTCCAGTGTCGTAAGGTGCATTTCCCGTAGCCTTTCCTCGTAACTCATGCCTCTTAGTTCTGGGACTAGTCTAGTGGCATACCTTTGGACTTTTTCCAGCTTCGTCTTGTGCTTGACAAGGTACGGGCTCCATGCTGGGGCCGCATGTATGTGTGTGTGTGTGTGTGTGTGTGTGTGTGTGTGTGTGTGTGTGTGTGTGTGTGTGTGTGTGTGTGTGTGTGTGTGTGTGTGTGTGTGTGTGTGTGTGTGTGTGTGTGTGTGTGTGTGTGTGTGTGTGTGTGTGTGTGTGTGTGTGTGTGTACTCACCTAATTGTGCTTGCGGGGGTTGAGCTCTGGCTCTTTGGTCCCGCCTCTCAACCGTCAATCAATTGGTGTACAGATTCCTGAGCCTATTGGGCTCTATCATATCTACATTTGAAGCTGTGTATGGAGTCAGCCTCCACCACATCACTTCCTAGTGCATTCCATTTATTAACTACTCTGACACTGAAAAAAAATCTTTCTAACGTCTCTGTGACTCATCTGGGTACTAAGTTTCCACCTGTGTCCCTTTGTTCGTGTCCCACCCGTGCTGAAGAGTTTGTCTTTGTCCACCCTGTCAATTCCCCTGAGAATTTTGTAGGTGGTTATCATGTCTCCCCTTACTCTTCTGTTTTCCAGGGATGTAAGGTTCAGTTCCTTTAGCCTTTCCTCGTAGCTCATTCCTTTCAGTTCCGGGACGAGTCTGGTGGCATACCGCTGGCTCTTCTCTAACTTAGAACTTTGTCTTGTGTATAACTAGGTATGGACTCCAGGCTGGAGCTGCATACTCCAGGATTGGTCTTACATAAGTGGTATACAGGGTCCTGAACGATTCCTTACACAAGTTTCTAAAGGCAGTTCTTATCTTGGCCAGTCTAGCATATGCCGCTGATGATATTCTTTTGATGTGGGCCTCTGGAGACAGGTTCGGTGTGATATCAACCCCCAGATCTTTCTCTCTATTTGACTCTTGCAGGATTTTTCCTCCCACATGATCCCTTGTGTTCAGCCTCCTGCTCCCTTCGCCTAATTTCATTACCTTACACTTTCCTGAGTTGAACTTTAGCAGCCATTTTTTAGACCATTCTTCCAGTTTGTCCAGGTCATCCTGTAGTCTCTGTCTATCTTCATCCGTCTTGATTCTTCTCATAATTTTTGCATCATCAGCTAACATTGAGAGGAACGAGTCTATACCCTCCGGAAGATCGCTTACATATATTAGAAACAGGATGGGGTCCAAGTTCTGAGCCCTGTGGGACACCGCTGGTGACTTCTCGCCGCTCTCATGTCTCCCCCCTCACCGTTACTCGCTGTTTCCTGTTGCTTAAGTATTCCCTTATCCATTGGAGAACCTTCCCTTTTACTCCTGTCTGTTGCTCCAATTTTTTTAACAGCCTTTCATGGGGTACTGTTGTCAGGAGACATATTTTTCCTGCTCTCTCGTGCACTGGATGAAGTACGAAATTGCATAGTGCACCAGTGATGTGCACCGTGATTCAACATTTTGAATATAACTTTTCCACAGTCGTGTTGGGTGTCGTTGGACAGCCCATGACATTTGCTAACCATTGATGTCATTCTGATCACTGCATCAGGTCTGTGAAGGAAATTACAGGAGGGAGTTGATTTCAGGGAAATTTTTGTACAAGTCAAGTATAGAGAGGGAGGTTTGGGGGGTTAAAGGCTGTAGATTACACCCCCATCACATGTCCACCTCGTGAGAGAGGGGGTAGCGTCGTGAGGCAAGGTGCGCCATTGGCCACGGCGCTTGGGCCTCAGGAATGCTGAGCCGTGATTGGGGATGCTGAGGGGTACCGCATGGTATCCCGGGGCCGTTTTGTCGGCAAAAAAATAATTCTTACCAAGAACGTTGCAATAGGAGGATGTACTTCTCTTGCTAATGGCCAAGCATCGTGAAATACCACCTGCAACGTTACAAAAGTCACGCTTATCGTCTTGCTATCTTTCCAGGTGCCGTCCGTAAGAATCCAGTAGTTCGGAAAGGTGCTTGCACCAATTTTGTTTTACAAGTGTGAACTGACACATCTAAGCCGTGTGATTGTGAGACGCCATCTCAGAGCAATTGGGCTGAGTGAGGCTGTTAAAATCGGCTGGAGTTATCGTCATCCGCCGTCTATCGTATCTTAGCTTGAAGGTACTGCAGTGAGAGGATCTAGAGAAGGTTTCAGTGTTATGAGAGAAACCTTAAATTCGTAATTCTGAGGAATTAGCAGTGAACAGTGAAGGACTCTGTCTCGTGTACCGTCGTGCTGTGTAATACCGTGTACCGTCGTATCCTGGGGTCCCGTGTCAAGTGGATGGGCGTGGTACTGCATCACAGCTGTGTAATATGTTGTGCGCGCACCATGGGCTGCCCTAAGCCGGCGTGTTCGCGCCACCTGGTCTCTGTGTGTGGAGCTAACCCCATGGTCTACGATGTAACACGGGTTCGGGTTCCCTCTCTTATTTATCTCTTCCTTCTCTCCCTCTACCCGTATTCTTACTTTTATTTCTAAACCAAGGGACTCCAAAACTTTTAACAGAGCCAACTCCACGCCACGTGGTCCTAAGACGATTGACCGACTTAGGATTCTACACCCAGTATGACGTGACCTAAGCTCTGAGCAAAACCCTAGAGTCGCCTCTACGCTGCCACCACCAGACCAGTAATACAAGAGCAATGATCGAGGTCTGGATCGATCACGCTAATTAATCAATC